AATCGCCGCCACTATTTAAAGGTGTGCACCACATAAACTCTGTCTTGCGATCTTAGTTAGTGCTGATCGCAATTAGATAAATTAACATAGATTGTCTATAACTGATCAGCTCAAACGAAAAGGCTGGAATTTGAACTTGCGATCTTGTGATTACAAGTTTCTATCCTTATATTCATTCATGATTTTTATTTCTTTTTGGGTGTACTTTTATAGTGGTTTCCAATGAATTTTATAATGACATGAAACAGGCACAGTACTTGTTAGTTTTATGTTCATTTAAAGAGCAGCTTCAGCAACATGTCAGAGTCCATGCTGTTGAAGCAGTGATGGCCTGCCGTGAAATTGAGCAGAACTTACAAGCTCTGACTGGTAAATAACTAATTATTATTTTTAATTTTTTTGCATTTTTGGTGAAACCATTATTATGTCAAGTACAAGGATCCTCTTTTGGTTGAGGCTTTGCTACTTTTCAACATTATGATGCTGCATAGCTGAGTTCCAAGGAACTCATCATCATTTCATGCTTCCTCTTTCACCATTTTCTTGATTTTCTGCTTTTAATATTTTCTAAATATATATATATTTTATTAATTCTTTCATTTCTATTGTAAATTAAAAGCATTAATTTTAAGCTAAGGTCATTTTAAATAAATAGTTTCAGATATATACAATGATATATAGGTTATGAGTGCACTGTAATCAAGAATTGGAGGAAATATCTAATCTGGGTTGGGATTTGTTTTGGTGTTTACTTTTATTTATTATGGGTTTGTTAGAAGAGAGGAGGATAAGAAAAGCAATTTGGGGCTGTGGTTTGTGCCACCATACAGAAGCTAGAGGGTGGGTGTAGAGGGGCCCACTTGGGAAATGAAAATTGTAGTTTATTTGTAGTTAGGAGAAGAGTTTTTGTTGGTTGGATGGATGGATGATGGAAGATTGGAATAAACATTTAAAAGTACAACAAACCAACAACACTAACAACTGGTAATTGGTGTGGTGTGGTGAGGTTGCAACCTACTTTGGATTCAAAATACATACACATACTTACATACATAGTTTCTAGAATTTCATATATATATATATATATATATATATATATATATATATATGTATGTATATAGTTGAATTCAAATGAGGACCACTATATTATAGAGGATTATGCGGACGGGTGTAGTCGTGTGCCACAGTTTGTATGTCGTGTGCATAGGTTTGTTAATAATAGAGCTTGGGTTCGAAACCTGTGTGCATAGGTTTGTTAATAATAGAGCCTGTGTTCGAAACCTGTTTATATGTATTCTTGTGTGCCATTGTGTGCATGATACTAATTTGTTGTGTGCACGTAATCAGTCCGCACAGTCCTCTATATATTGTGGTCCTCATGTGAACTCAATCCTATATATAAGTGATGGTTGGCTTGAGAGAAGTATGTAGTAAGCTAGTAATGTTACCATTTTAATTATATATTTTTAGATAAGCGTGAGTCGATCTGAACTGAATCTAAAATCTCATAGTATATATTGAATTCAAATTAAAGTCTTATGTTAGTAGATTGAAATGTTTTCAACTAATGTTACCTTTCTAAATTTTCCTTAATTATATTTTCGAGAGGAATGACGGCATCACGTACTTAATAGTGGTGAAACAAAAATTTATTGTTTCTGCTCAAGAAAAAGTAAAAAAGGATAAATTTATGTGAAAATTAAATGTTGTAGGTGTTTATTAGTTTAAGTTGACATTGCATGATGAAATAACTAATTTAAACTTTTGTTGGATTATGTCATTTTTGCAACAAAGAGTCAGCAAGATTGAGGAACTTAACCCCTAAGCTCTTCAAAAAGAATAAATAAACAAAATACTTTAGTTAATTACCATATATGAAGAAGCATTAAACCAGCTCTTTGTTTTTTTTGAAAAGAACCAGCTCTTTGTTATTTATGCACAGTACACAATTATTTTTTCCACACCTTGGCCTGACAAGATAATGCAGTCCACCCACCATACCGGCATACCGCACAATTGTTATACCATGGATCATGGTTCATCTTGCATTGTGGACTCTGATCTAAAAATGATGCGTCATAGTTAACTGCAAGTACATAATATGTCAAATATATCAACTGTAGGCACATAATTTGAAAGTTATTTTGGACTAGAGTTCACAATGCAAAGTAGACTCTGGTCTATGGTATAAATTTGTCCCACACCACATTGGGTACGGTGTAAATCTAACCCTGCAACTCAGCAATTGCTAGGGTTCAATCCGGCCTATGTCATTGCACACACCTAGGAACTAATTGAGCTATCCGTGTGGGCTGGTACACAATTATATTTAAAAAAAAATGTTTATCAATTGTCAAAACACTTTTATATTCATCATCCAAATTAAAGAAAATGAGGGTAACCAAAATAAGATGAAAACCTAATGGGGTTTGTTGTAAGAACTATGGGTGTGTTTGGTTCGCATATAGGAATCGGAATCGGAATGGTATCAAATACTTGGTAATGGTAATGGGTTTTGGTGAAAGTATTTAACATGTTTGGTAGTAGGGTGGAATGGGAATGGTTACTAATAGTAGTGCTTGAAAATGAATAAGGGAATGAAGCCCTTATTGTATTTGGGTATGGGTTTTTCAATTGATGGGGTATTCGAAACCCATAGTAGTGTTCTAAAAACCTATCAACCAAACAACAACAATCACTTTCATACCCATTCCTATGGGCAAAACCCACCAACCAAACACACCCTATATATGAGGTAGAAGTGTGTGAAACATGCATGCATGCATGATTTCTTCTGATCTGTAGTTTGATAATGATAGCATGTTGTATGTGTTGCAGGAGCAAGTCTTGGTGAAGGAACAGGTGCAACAATGTCAGATGATGAAGATGAGCTAGCGATGCAGATGGATTTCTCTTTGGACCAATCTGCAGGAGGTGATGGGGGGCATGACTTGATGGGATTTGGTCTCCCCACTGAATCTGAAAGGTCTCTAATGGAGAGGGTTCGACAGGAACTCAAGATTGAGTTAAAACAGGTATGTAATTCCATCAACTCTACCTTCCTACTTCAATTCATGCTCATAGGATAATCACACGCTTACCACTATACCAAAAACTATAACTAATAGCGAATGCACAATTTTATCTCCTTATACCTAGCTATCACATTTTCGATAAGTAGGGTACTGAACTCGCCCTTTGGGAACCTCCTCCTAACAATCTCCGGTTGTTATACCGTGGACCATGGTCCAAAAACGGCGCCGTTTCTTTAAGTAAAGAAATGGCCGCTGTTAAATTTTAACAAATCTCGTACTTTTTGTGTGTTCATAAAAAAATGAAACTACAGTGTATCTAAAATGAAACTGAATAACTTGTCTGGCATATATATTGTGTTTATATTATCAAATGAAACTAAATAACTTGTCTCGCATATTGAGTGTATATTGTCAAATGAAACTGTCGTTATATCAAAATGATACTTTAGTTGTGTTGTAATGAAACTACAATGTATATAAAATGAAACTGAATAAACAGTTTCACATATTTGAGTGTATATTGTCCAATGAAACAATAGTTGAATTAGAATTATAATTTAGTAGTGTTGTAATAAGAATACAGTGTGTATAAAATGAAATTCAATAACATGTCTCACTATAATAAGACTATTGTATGTATAATGTCGAATGAAACTGTAGTTGAAACAAAATGAAACTTTAACTGTGATGAAATGAAACTACAATGTATATAAAATGAAACTGAATATTTTAGTTTCTTTATATTAGTATAGGCCCACCAGAACTATGTGGTCCAATGGTACTTGGGTAGGATTTCCATTTGGAAGGTTGTGAGTTCGAGTCTCTGTTGAGAAAGTATGAAAAAAAAATTGTTTCTTTTCACCGCACCGTTTTGAACCATGGTGCATAGTCAAACAAACTGAACTAATGTGCCGTTTCTTTTCACAGCACCGTTTTGAACCATGGTGCACAGTCAAATTTGCCAACAATCTCCTAGTCTCTTATTGTTGGACTACTTGGGCCGACCTCCGCTTAACAATTCAAGAATCTTTAATTATAATGTTTATGTTTGTGCATATAATGCAGGGATTCAGGTCAAGAATTGAAGATGTGAGGGAGGAGATATTAAGAAAGAGAAGGGCAGGGAAATTGCCCGGTGACACTACCACTGTTCTCAAGAACTGGTGGCAGCAACACTCCAAGTGGCCATACCCAACTGTAAGTCACCCACCATATATATAGATTAAGTTATCAATTAACTAGATACATCTATGGAGTTGGATCAAGTAGATGGAACAAAAGCGAGCATTATATTCATACCATTCCAATCAACTTAATTGTCCAATAAACATGAAAATGTTGTGAAAATCATCAGGAAGATGACAAGGCAAAGCTAGTGGAGGAGACAGGGTTGCAGCTGAAGCAAATAAACAACTGGTTCATCAACCAAAGGAAGCGCAACTGGCACAGCACCTCCCAGTCAGTCACATCTCTCAAGTCCAAGCGCAAGAGATAAGATCAGATCAGATCCAATTCGATCAAACCATTTCTTCCCATCCAAACCATAGATTGATATAGACGATATTGATCTTAAATTAGATAGCAGCTTAGCTACCTTGCAACAAGCCTGATATGTGGATAGTCATCGATTCGATCTGCAGGCATGGAAACCATTATATTAATTGGATAACGTACGTATTACTCATCAAGATTAGGTAAGAATGAATATATGTGTACTTTAATTTTGTGGTGCTTAGTAGAATGCCTGCAAATTTCTCTATGGACACTCAACTCTAACCCCAGCCTTGTGGTCTGAGAACTTTCCCTGTTACCATATGGCAAATCATTATATTCTATTTTGAGGTAAGAGGGAGGAGTATACACTGATCCAGTAAATGTAATCACTTTATACTGCTAACTTTGTGCTTTTTGGAGTGATATATATACATATATATATGTGAAATTGGGAAACAAGTTGTATTGTAACTCTTTGCAGATTTTATTTTTTACCCTTTTTCACTTTTCAATTTATATTCGTTTCTCTCCTTTATTATGAAACATGAACCAATCATGTGGATGTGATATTCTAATTTCTAAATCTCAATTCCGATCCATTGGTGACATTGTACACCTTGAGCCAAATATACCTAATCTAGACCTACAATTTATCTCATCACACCTCATGTGATATGAGTTCAACTTTTAATAAACTTAGGAATAGAATATGATTGTTGGAAAATTCTCTCTCTCTTAAGAAATCTTCTCTCGTCTTAGTACGTGTCTTTCCTGGCTTTTCTTGACCGTTTTCATCCCCGGTGCGATGGCGACGTCTGACGCTGAGCAGTTGGGGAATCAGTGTGCCGCTTTGATGATAGAAGATGGTGTAGAAGGTTTGATTGTGTTAGGCCGGGCTTCCCTCCTATGTGGTAAATAGCCCAATTTGGACCAAGCACGATAACAAATGTTTATTCAGCCTGTACTTACTGACATTTATTAAATGTCATTTGAATTTTTTGAACGTTGCTTGGCGGTGGAGCTGTTCGGCAGAAGCCAAGAAGAAGGAAATTTCTTTTTTCTTTGTTTCACACTACTTTTGCAGCATAGATGCGACAAGGTTGAAAAATGGATTTCCTTATTTAATTCCCATTTCGGTTGTCAAGCTTGAAAGAGGGAAAATTAATTGCCTTTGATTGATATATACATACTCTACTACTTTCATTGTGGTGTGGCAGAAAGTAGTAGAAAATAGAGAGAGAAATTCCATTTTCTCTTAGTCTTCTTTCATTCGGCAGTGAGGGTAAATCAAATCAATTCATTTTGTTTCATCCTCCATTTTGGCGCAGTTCGTGGCGTTGGTTTGCCGAAGCTCTTGGGTACTTCATCAAATATTTGTAGAGGTCAATCATCTTATTTGTTCCAGGCATCGTTTGGGTAATCTCGTACTATTTATATTCATTTTATCATATTTGTGGTGGTTTAATATTTTGAGTACGAGATATTATTCCTTTTAGTCTGTGAACGTGATAGAATGTATTTGGCCTAGTATTGTTGTATTTGATGATTTTATGGATGTATGACTCGTGTGATAGTCTGAAACTTTGTACCCGAGATTTGTCATAGTGGAAACTTTGTTGGTGGTGGTCCCGTGGTTTTTTCCCGATTTGGGATTTTCCACGTAAATCGTGTGTCCCTTGTGTTTGCTATTTATTTTGGCTATTTTGTATCATTTCGTATTTGCGCTCTTGTCGGTCCTGTGATTTTATTTGTCACAAGTATGAGATTTTTCCCAACAAAGTGGTATCAGAGCCCTGGTTGTTGATCAGGTATATTTGACATGGAGGCAAATACGATTAATATGGTACGATTGAACGGTAGAAATTTTCACAGTTGGAAGACCAAGATGAAGGATCTCCTGTTCGTGAAGAAATTGCATGCATCTACCTGTGTTTGCAAGTGCAAGGCCAGAAAATATGTCAGAAGAGGAGTGAGACTTTGAGTACCAACAAGTGTGTGGTTATATTCGACAATGGGTCAAAGACAATGTTCTGAATCACATTGTCACTGAGACACATGCCAGGAGCCTATGGGATAAACTTGAGACCATGTATGCTTCCAAAACAGGCAACAACAAGCTGTTCTTGTTAAAGCAGTTGATGAATCTAAGATACAGGGAAGGGACATTGATCAATGATCATGTTAATGATTTTTAGGGTGTCCTTGATCAGTTGTCTAGCATGTGCATCAAATTTAAGGATGAGGTACTTGGTCTCTGGTTGCTTAATACTCTACCTGATTCTTGGGAAACATTTCGGGTTTCTTTGACCAACTCTGCTCCCAACGGTGTTGTGACCATGGAGTATGTCAAGAGTGGTATCTTGAATGAAGAATCAAGAAGAAGATCTCAAGACACCTCCACTTCTCAGTCAGATATTTTGGTTACAGACGATAAGGGGAGAAACAAGCAAAGGGGTCAGAAGGGTAGATATAAAAACAGAAGCAAGTCAAGGTCAAGGTACAAGGATCTTGAATGTCATCATTGTGGCAAGAAGGGGCACATCAAGAAATATTGCTTCAAGTTGAAGAGAGACATGAAGCAAGACAAAAAAGATGATCACACAGAGAACCAGGTTGCAACAGTTAGAGCAGATTTACTTCTTGCTTGTGGATGAGAACGCCGTCAATGTTGCATGCCATGAGACAACTTGGATTGTGGATTCAGACGCATCTTACCATGTTACACCAAGGAAGGAATTCTTTACTTCATATACTTCAGGCGACTTTGGAGAGCTAAGAATGGGTGATGATGGTCAGGTGAGGTGATTGGTACTGGTACAGTTTGTCTTGAGACCAGCAATGTCACAAAGCTGGTACTTAAAAATGTAAAGCATGCACCGGGTATCAGACTGAATCTCATTTCTATAATAAAACTCGATGATTATGGTTTCTGTTGTTTCTTTGGTGATGGACATTGGAACATCACTAAAGGCTCGATGGTTACTGCACGAGGTAACAAGTCTTCTAACTTGTATTATTTGCAAAGCTCTATTTCTGGTGATTCAGTGAATGTTGTAGCAAAAGAATGTGCATCAGAATTGTGGCATAAACGACTTGGCCACATGAGTGTGAAGGGGATTGATCACTTGCCAAGAAGAATAAGCTTTCAGGGGTAAAAGAAGCTAGATTGGACAGGTGTGTTCATTGCCTGACGGGGAAACAAAAAAGAGTTTCTTTTATGAGCAATTCTCATTCGAAGAGGCCAGAGCCACTTGAGTTGATACATTCTGATGTGTGTGGAGCAATGAAGGTTAGATCACTTGGAGGTGCATCTTACTTTGTGACCTTCATTGATGATTATTCTAGGAAACTCTGGATTTACACTTTGAAGCACAAAAGTGATATGCTTAGTGTGTTTAAGGAGTTTCATGCCCTTGTTGAGAGACAGACAGGGAAGAAATTGAAGTGCATCCGTACTGATAATGACAGTGAATACCGTGGCCCTTTTGATGAGTACTGCAGAATGCACGGTATTAGACATAAAAAAACTCCTCCTAAAACTCCTCAGTTAAATGACTTAGCAGAGAGGATGAACCGGACAATTATGGAGAGAGTCAGATGCATGCCTGATGATGCAAAGTTGCCTAGTTCTTTTTGGGTAGAGTCAGTTTCCACAGCTGTTCATGTTATCAACTTATCTCCCGTTATTGCTTTAAATAATGAAGTTCCTGATAAGGTTTGGTGTGGAAAGGAAGTTTCTTATGATCACCTCAGAGTCTTCGGTTGCAAGGCATTTGTGCATGTCCCAAGAGATGAGAGATCTAAGTTGGACTACTCGAAGACTAGACAGTGCATTTTCATTGGTTATGGTCTTGATGAATTTTTCTACAAGCTGTATGATCCAGTTGAGAAGAAGCTTGTGAGAAGCCGTGATGTAGTGTTCTTTGAAGATCAAACCATTGAAGATGTTGACAAATTGAGAAAGCCAGAATCTCAAGACAGCGGAAGTTTGGTTGACTTTGAGCCAGTTTCCAGCAGAGATACACATGATGTTAATGAGGTTCAAGAGAATGGCCAGAATGGTGATCCTGTACCCGACACCCAGGATGATACAACCGATGTGGATGGTTATGTTGATGATGTTGCGCACCAGGAACAAGAAGTTCCTTTGCAGGTTCCAGTTGATCCTCCTAGAAGGTCTAACAGGGAACGGAAACCATCTACTCATTACTCTTCTAGTCAGTATGTGCTCTTGACTGATGGGGGAGAACCTGAGTCATATGAAGAAGCTATGGAGAGTGAGCAAAAGAGACAATGGCTTGAGGCTATGCAGGATGAAATGAACTCCCTATATGCAAATGATACCTTTGAGTTGGTGAAGGCACCAAAAAACAGGTGGATCTACATATCAAAACATGAAGAAGGCACTTCAGTTCCACGATTCAAAGCTCGGCTGGTGGTGAAAGGTTTTGGCTAGAAGAAAGGTATTGATTTTGATGAAAATTTCTCTCCTGTTGTAAAATTTTCATCCATTAGAGTTGTGTTGGGTCTAGAAGCTCGTTTGGATTTAGAAATTGAGCACATGGATGTGAAGACAGCTTTTCTCCATGGTGATTTAGATGATGAGATATATATGGAGCAACTTGAGGGATTCAAAGTCAAAGGGAAAGAGGATTATATTTGCAGATTAAAGAAGAGTTTGTATGGTTTGAAACAAGCTCCGAGGCAGTGGTATAAAAAGTTTACTTCCGTTATGAGTAATCGTGGGTACAAGAAGACTTCTTCAGACCACTGTGTTTTTGTAAACAGATTCTCTGATGATGACTTTGTTATATTGTTGCTTTATGTTGATGATATGTTGATTGTTGGTCGCAATGTTTCAAGAATTCAACAATTGAAACAAGAGTTGAGTAAGTCCTTTTCTATGAAGGACATGGGACCAGCGAAACAGATTCTTGGGATGAAGATCATCCGTGACAGACAGAATAAGAAGCTGTGGTTATCTCAAGAGAAGTACATAGAGAAAGTACTTCAGAGATTCAATATGGATGAAGCTAAGCCAGTGAATACACCTCTTGGTAAGCATTTCAAGTTGAGCAAGAAGCAATGTGCTTCTAGTGAAAAAGAGAAGGAAGAAATGTAAAGAGTTCCTTATTCTCCAGCTGTTGGTAGTTTGATGTATGCGATGGTATGCACGAGACCAGATATTGCTCATGCAGTGGGTGTTTTTAGCAGATTTCTTTCAAATCCAGGGAAAAAACATTGGGATGCTGTGAAGTGGATTCTGAGATATCTTCGGGGTACTTCAAGTCTGAGTTTGTGTTTTGGTACGGGGAAACCTATTCTTACCAGGTACACTGATTCAAATATGGCCGGAGACATTGATACCAGGAAATCAACTTCAGGTTATCTGATTACCTATGCATGGGGAGCAGTTTCGTGGCAATCAAGATTGCAAAAGTGCGTTACTTTGTCTACCACTGAAACTGGGT